TGACCTCAATCAAGTTCACAGACACTGAGCTGAACTTCGGCGTGGTAGTAGCCGAGAGTCGTCCATGACCTGAGCTCTAACAAACTACAAGAGGTCCGAGTTTCCTGGACCACCAGATGGACCGTTCAGGAAGTCATCTTTGGGCAAACATCTGATCAACTGCTGGAGTTGGATCGATTAAAGATGGCCGCCACAGCTAATCAGCCTTAAAGAAAACAGCTAAAATTCAGTTGGACTAAAATAAGCTAAAGTTTGGTGACCAAAGAAACTCCGTCTTTAATCATCGAACCATGATCTCAGTTTATAAACGGGGTTCTCAACTGGTGGGTCACAGACAGGAAGTGGGTCATTGGACCCGTCTTCTGCGGCCGTCTGCAGAGACGAAACAAGAACCGGATCACGTCGGTTTGTTTGGACCCGTCCAAAGAGTTTTAATTTGTGTTTGTTACAAATAAACCTGAAGAGTCCCAAAGATCCAGGACTTGTAGGACCTGAAGGACATGGAGTGCGCTGTCCAGGAGGACACGAAACAGGATGAAGTTAAAGAGGCCCGACTGAGATGGTGTGGACATGTCCAGAGGATGGACAGTTGTGTGGACATGTCCAGAGGAGGGACGGTGGTTATGACATGTCCAGAGGAGGGACAGTAATGTGGACATGTCCAGAGGAGGGACAGTGGTGTGGACATGTCCAGAGGAGGGACAGTGGTTTGGACATGTCCAGAGGAGGGACAGTGGTTTGGACATGTCCAGAGGAGGGACAGTGGTTTGGACATGTCCAGAGGAGGGACAGTGGTGTGGTCATGTCCAGAGGAGGGACAGTAGGTATGTTGGTAGAAGGATGTTAGAAATGCAGCTTCCAGGAAAAAGACAAAGAGGAGACATATGGATGCATTTAGAGAGGACATGGAGGTAGTTGGAGTGAGGACAGAGGACACAGAGGACAGAGTGAGATGGAGGAGTCAACCTCTGACGAGGGAGCAGCTGAAAGAAGACTTCTTTAAGACGTTTCTGTCCTCAGGCTGGTTTAAATCCTGTCTCAGCTTCTGGTGGACCATGTTGTGCCTTTACCCACCTAGAAACAGTTTTTGTGTCAAACCAGGACTTCCTGCAGGACTTCCAGTAGGGCTTGAAACCACTTCCTGTCGCGGTGTCGTTCATCTCGTTTGTTGTCGATAAAGTTAAAGTCAGGACTTTCTCTGAAGGTCTGTTCACTGACTGTGGGAAATCCTGACGCTTCCACACTCCTGCATGCAGGAAGTCAGTCTGTTGTTGTGTCTCTGCATTCTCTGGACTCAAACACACACACTGCACCTGTCCCTGTCCATCACACACACAGAGACACACACAGAGAGACACACACACAGAGACACACACACACAGAGACACACACAGACACACACACACACAGAGACACACACAGACACACACACACACAGAGACACACACACACAGAGAGACACACACACACAGACACACACACACAGAGACACACACACAGAGACACACACAGAGACACACACAGACACACACACAGACACACACACGCTCAGTGGGAAAATGTTCCTGCCATTCCTGAGACATGAGTCTAAATATTTTCTGCACATCGACACCAGCTTTCTGTGCGTGCGTGCACGTGTGTGTGCGTGCACGTGTGCGTGTGTGTTCTCAGGGAGGAAGTTGTTCAGATTTGAGGACGTTCGCAGCAGACCTGACGAACGTTCCTGTGGGAGCGCTCGCTCTGATTTGAGCAACCACATTTTAAAGTCACAACCTGCTGGCGGCACGGTGGAGCAGTGGTTAGAGCTGTTTCTGTGGAGTTCACATGTTTTCCCTGCTGGGAACTCCAGTTTCCTCCCATACATGTAAGACTGATTGTTGACTTAACTGTCTCTGGGTGTCCCCGTGATGGACTGGAGACATGTCCAGGTGTCCCCCACCCCTCAGACAGATCATGGATGGATGTCCTTGGATGCTCTTCCTGGTGTTTCTTGGTTCTTCTTGAGAAATAAATAATTTGAACCTTGAAGCCGGTTCTCGGTTCAGACCAGGTGTTTGAAAACCCAAACGAGCTTCTTGTCCTCCTCCTGTAGGGACAGGGACGTCCACATGTCCCAGCTGAAGGACAGACGAGCAGAGTTGAGTCTTTTCTTTGTCTGATCATAAAAACGAGCGTTTGTTGGTTCGTTCCTCAAAGACGTAAAGAATCAGAAACAAGTCGACGTTTCTGTTTTTGATGAGTTCTCAGCGAGAGCAGGAAGTGATTTTATTTATTTATTTATTTATTTATTTATTTATTTATTTATTTATTGACGGTTCCGTCTGAACACATCTGTCCTCCAGCCCAGCTCCGTCTTCAGGCGAGCCTGGACCTGAGTCTGGTGGACAGGAAGCTCTGAGAACAGCTGTTTCTGGGTTTACGTCATGCGGCGCGGGCCGGTGTCACGGCTCAGCGTTCGCACGCTATGCACAGGACCAGAACCAGGACCAGAACCAGACCCGGTCGGTTCTCCTGCAGAGGAAGAGCGCCACCTGTTTGAGAGAGGATGGGCTGCGTCGCCATAGAAACCAGTCTGTTGTGAGACTGAGGACAAACAGGAAGTTACTGAGGACAAACAGGAAGTTACTGAAGACAAACAGGAAGGTTAATTATTTTATTTGATCAGATCTTTAAGTTTTTACTTGTTGTTCTAAATTATTTGTTTGTTGTTGTTTGTGTCCTAACGTGGACGTTGTCTTTGTTCGGTAGATTATTGTTTAATAAACGTTTTTGATCTGGAAGTTGTTCAAAAACTGTTTATTTCTGTAAATGGGATCATGTTGTTCCCAAAAACGCTCCGATAAATTAAAAACATTCACAGAAACAAAAGCGTTTCAGTTTGTGGTAAATAAAAATAATAAAATAACCAAACTTGTTTTCTTTATAGAATATCGTCTCGGTGTTTTTGTTTATCCAGGAAGCGTTCGATCAACTCAAATCTGAATATTTAAAGAGTCGAGGCAATAATTCAGTTTATTTGGTTTTAGTCACTGTTTAAGATAATATCTTGATGCATGCTCAATAATCCAGGTAGAAAAATCCAAAAAAAGTTCAATCTGGTCCTCTGGACAATGTCCAGAGGACCAGATTGAACTTTTTTTGGATGTTCAAGATAATGTCCCTTTTTCATTAATTTAATTGCTGGACTATAAGTTACATCATGCTGCGGTTAATTTATGGATTTTTATTAGTTTTATTTTTGTCAGATGAACGAGCTTCCTGCCACCAGAACATTTAGCCTCATCACACCCGGGCGCTCAGAGCTGCCCAGTACACGTCTCTCTGTGGGGTGGGGGTGGGGGGGGTTCCTCATGACTCGATTAGACCTGTCCTGATAAACAAATCAATTAATCGCATGATTAATGAAAATTATCGACCTCGTTTTCATTTATCATTTCTTCATCTCTTTCTACTGAAGACACTGGACGACAAACGATCAACTCCGGTCTCTTCACTGACTCCTCCCTTTCTCTTTTCTCTTTAAAATCTGTTCTAACATCTAAAATCACATTTTGAGAACTGAAGAGAGTCAGCTCATGTCACGTCACGGGGCCTCCCTCCCATTTTTTTTAAGAGACACGCTGCTCGCTCCCTCACTATCCGTCCTTTGGCTCAAACAGTCTAATACTGCCATCCAGTGGTCAACAAAAGGTACTACACACAAAAATTAACCAACATTTCTTCTTATTGTCAAATTTTGAACAATATTATCGTTTATCGCGATAATTTCTGAGACAATTAATCGCCCAGCAACATTTGTTATCGTGACAGGCCTAGACTCGGTGAGACTACCTGTATAAGTTAAGGTTACAAAACATCTGACCAGTGAAATTAGTGAACAGGTCACAGTCCAAACAATGAAATGTGGTTTCATTGGTCCACTGGGGAGGGGGGGAGGGGGGATTTAACTGCATGCACAGAGCATGTGAGTGAGGACTCACATGCTCACAGAGCAACTTTTGCTCTGAAGAGCAGGAGGAAGGTGAAGTTATGAAAGACTTCCTGGCAGGCTACAGTTTTGTTATTTTTAATTAACCAGCCGTGTTGCATACCTGTATGTTAGCGGTCCGTATCGTAGCATCCTGCTGTGGTTGACTGCTGGTCACATGGCCTCAGGGAGGGATTATGGGTAAAATTTATGTTGATTGTTAATCATTTCAGTTATCTGTTTATCATTGTTCTTTTAGTGATTAGTCTGTTCTTGTTAGTTTGTGTTCGATCCTTCAGTAACCATGAGTGAGGGAGGCAGTTGTCATGACGACCTGTGGGCTTCACTCTGTGTTGAACAGGAAGATAAAGTTTATAAAACTCCATCTGGTGGTTGGTTCTTGATCTACAACAAGCTGCACATCTGTCTCAGCAGCTGTGCTGCCACTCATGTCACAACGTGAACATGTTGTTTTACATTATTAGTGTTTATCATATCTTACCGTTTCTTTTTATACGTTATTTGTTTGCTATTATTGGATGTAACTGGGATCTTCAGTACATAATTTTGTTCCACCTCATGTACCACATGTGGTGCAAATAACAACAAACTTGACTTGAACTTGAACACCTGCAGCTTGTACGCAGGTGCGTCGTATATTCAGGTGCGCTCTATAGTCCGGAAATTACGGTGCACAGAATAATTAGAAACGTCTTCCTAAACTTTTGAGAAAAGTAAATCTGTCACTTTTTAATCAAACTATATTTCTACCAACTAAATGTAAGTTAGAATAATAAAATTATGCTTTTAACTCAGTTTAAATGTTTCAAAGATGCTAAATATAACTGATACAGGTTCGTGTACGTTTATTTTATTTTTCCAGGTTAAAATAAAGTTGTGATTATTTGCAAACTGATTTCTGTTTTCTTTGAAGCGACTTGACGTTTTTTGGACGATTTATCGAGTCGGTGATTCGTCGACGTTGCTCTGAGTCGTTGAGTTTCTCATAAAGTCCGGCGTTGGTCTGTTCCAGGTCTATGCTCCGTCTGCCAGCACCGCCGACTACAACAGAGACTCGCCGGGGTACCCCTCCTCAAAACCGCCCAGCGCCGGATTCCCGAGCTCCTTCTTCATGCCAGGTAACCTCACAAACAACCCAACTCAAGATGGCCGCCACGGATGGTGCATCTTAGCCGACGTAAACGTGACTTCAAGTCTGTTTTAGATGCAGTGAGCTAAACTTGGTTGTGGTGGGCCGCACCTGTGAGGTGGATGGATTGTCTCACTACCACAGATCGACACAAATCTGAACAATTTTTAAGAAAACGTTTTAGATCTTTGAGTTCAGCTTAAGAAAAATGGGAGCTTAAATAAAAGGGTTACGTTTGTATTTTTTCCGTGTTTACAAACCGACCGCCCCTATAATTAGTGGAAACTTTTTTTTTAAATTGCTTACAATGATTGTGATGCCTTGGCCACCATCGGCCACCCCCTGGCTCTACCTCTGCACCTGGTGGGGAATAAAATGGCTCCCTCCAGGATCTGTCACTGTGCTGCCTCAGAGCAACAAGAAAAACATTCACTATTCAGCGACGGGTACATCGACTTAAATTTTTTTCCTTGCATTTAGCTCCTCCCTCTTTCTGCCTCTAACTTGTTTCTTATTTCTCCGTCAGACGGTCACCACAGCGGCGATCCCTGGAGCAACAGCAGTAGCAACATGAGTCAGCAGGGTTACCATGGCAGCATGCTGGGGGGTGGAAACTCAGCCCATGGCCCCGCCCAGAGCTCCTCCTACTGCGGGATACACCCCCACGACAGACTGGTGAGCTGTGGTGCCCTGCACTCTTCGTTCCGGTAGTTTTCTCCTGGTTTCGGGTGAGTTAACGGTGCCGTCTCTCCGCAGAGCTACCCCCCCTCGCACTCGTCTGCAGATATCAGCTCCAGCCTCCCCCCCATGTCCAGCTTCCACAGAGGCGGGGGTGGCGGGAGCGGGCCCAATCACTACAGCACCGCCTCATGCACCGCAACCACCAACGGCACAGACAGCGTCATGGGTGAGACATTGGGTGGGGTCGGTCAGCGTGTGAGGTCACTTCCTGTTCCACTCTGGCCTGGTAAGAGTGTGTGAGGTCACTTCCTGTCCCCTTCTGGTCTGGTCAGAGTGTGTGAGGTCACTTCCTGTCCCCCTCTGGCCTGGTAAGAGTGTGTGAAGTCACTTCCTGTCCCCCTCTGGCCTGATCAGAGTGTGTGAGGTCACTTCCTGTCCCACTCTGGCCTGCTCAGAGTGTGTGAGGTCACTTCCTGTCCCCCTCTGGCCTGCTCAGAGTGTGTGAGGTCACTTCCTGTCCCTCTCTGGCCTGGTCAGAGTGTATGAGGTCACTTCCTGTCCCCCTCTGGCCTGGTCAGAGTGTGTGAGGTCACTTCCTGTCCCCCTCTGGCCTGGTCAGAGTGTGTGAGGTCCCTTCCTGTCCCTCTCTGACCTGGTCAGAGTGTGTGAGGTCACTTCCGGTCCCTCTCTGGCCTGGTCAGAGTGTGTGAGGTCACTTCCTGTCCCTCTCTGGCCTGGTCAGAGTGTGTGAGGTCACTTCCTGTCCCCCTCTGGCCTGGTCAGAGTGTGTGAAGTCACTTCCTCTCCCCCTCTGGCCTGATCAGAGTGTATGAGGTCACTTCCTGTCCCCCTCTGGCCTGGTCAGAGTGTGTGAGGTCACTTCCGGTCCCTCTCTGGCCTGGTCAGAGTGTGTGAGGTCACTTCCTGTCCCTCTCTGGCCTGGTCAGAGTGTGTGAGGTCACTTCCTGTCCCTCTCTGGCCTGGTCAGAGTGTATGAGGTCACTTCCTGTCCCTCTCCGGCCTGGTCAGAGTGTGTGAGGTCACTTCCTGTCCCCCTCTGGCCTGGTCAGAGTGTGTGAGGTCACTTCCTGTCCCTTTCTGGCCTGGTCAGAGTGTGTGAGGTCACTTCCTGTCTCCCTCTGGCCTGGTCAGAGTGTGTGAGGTCACTTCCTGTCCCTCTCTGGCCTGGTCAGAGTGTGTGAGGTCACTTCCTGTCCCCCTCTGGCCTGGTCAGAGTGTGTTGAACTCATTGTTGGTGGATCTAAAATCTCAGTGGATTCCAACTGGATCAAATGTATTGAAGTAAAAAAACGACTCAAACTGTCAGTTTTACAGATGTTCCATGTGGTAGTAGCTGAGAGTCCTCCCTGACATGAACTTCGAGCTCTAACACTTCTCCTGACGTCTCAATATTTCATGAGATTGTACAAACCAGTTGCCGCTCTCCCATCATGATCAGGCCTGTGGAGAACTCGGGCAACAGTGGCTGTATGCTCGGTCTCTCCCACATCGCCTGCTGAAGCCTGTAGCTCCTGCGGGGTGGTCTCAGGTGTCATGGTGGTCTCTCATGATCCTCCTTCAGGGCCACTCCAGCCGAGGACGGCCTGATCTTGGTAGATTTACACATGTTCCTTATTCCTTCCATGTCTTGGTGATAGCAGAACTTCATGTGTTGAAATTTGACTTTACTTTGACATAAAATAGTTTTCTGTGTTTTGTAAAGATGTTTTTATAATCGAGTTATTTATTGAATCATTTCCGTCTTCAGAGTCGATCTGTGGTTCGTTACCAGTGACGTGTCTTCGTTACTTTTTAATTTCCCTGAAAGTAGAAACTGACTGCCGTCACGGTGGAACTCCGACTTTTCTTGTTTCCTGTCAAAACAAAATAAAACACAAAAATAAACAGACTGAAGACAAAGTTCCTGAAACACCAGCTGGATTTCTGCCGTTTCAAACACGGGGTTGTAATTTACGATTGTAGTCGACAGAACGACCGACCCGAGTAACTAAACGTGTAGTTTAACGTATTTACAGGAAAACATCCATGTTGTCCCTCTGTGTGTGTCGCAGCTAACCGAGCGCAGAGCGGAACAGCCAGCAGCTCTCAAACAGGGGACGCCTTAGGGAAAGCGCTGGCGTCGGTACGTACCGTCACACATACAGACCCGTTCTCCGGTACCGCTCCAGGATCTCACTTTGTTAACCCGGTCTCTTTCTGTCTCTTCGATCCAGATCTACTCTCCGGATCACACGAACAACAGCTTCTCGTCCAATCCCTCCACCCCAGTCGGCTCTCCACCCTCCCTTACAGGTAAACCCATCACAGCCTGGACCTGGTCCTGGTCCTGGTCCTGGACCTGGACCTGGACTTGAACTGAAACCTAAACACAGCTATCAGAACTTCTTGTATTTGGCTTCAGACTCTGCAGCTGGAAAAAAATTAAATTCAGTTTATTTATGAAGCTCCAGCTGTCAACAAACCTGATCTCAGGGCCAAGTAAAAAACCACTGGAGACAGTGGGAAGAAACAACAGGAATAAACCTGGAGCAGAACCAGGATGGGCAGCAGTCTGCCTGCACTGGTGGGGGTTAGACAGGACAGGAAGGAGACTCGGAATGACTGATCCACGTGTGGTTTTTATAGTCCAGGTGTGGTTTCTATGGTTCAGGTGTAGTTTCTATGGTTCAGATGTAGTTTGTATGGTTCAGGTGTAGTTTCTATGGTTCAGGTGTAGTTTCTATGGTTCAGGTGTAGTTTCTATGGGTTCAGGTGTAGTTTATATGGATCAGATGTAGTTTCTATGGGTTCAGGTGTAGTTTCTATGGGTTCAGGTGTAGTTTCTATGGTTCAGGTGTGGTTTCTATGGTTCAGGTGTAGTTTCTATGGATCAGGTGTAGTTTTTATGGTTCAGGTGTAGTTTATATGGTTCAGGTGTAGTTTCTATGGTTCAGGTGTAGTTTCTATGGTTCAGGTGTAGTTTCTATGGTTCAGGTGTAGTTTGTTGTAGAGAAGACAAACATGTTATGATGGAAATGGACAGAACGTTCGAATGAGCTCAATTCGTTTTCTATGTGAACAAAATGGCAGAAAAGGCCAAATATTTCAAAAAGCTAAAGTTGCACCAACACCAGCTGGATTGTCCTGAACGAGCCGAAGGTTTTGCTTCATGATTTGTTGAAGCAGCACAAGAAATGTGGAACGAGAAAGATGCTGAAAACGTTACGGAATAGTTTTTTAAAAACCCGGATTAATAAATATAAACAGGGTCACAACTGTTTCACATTTAAAGAGTTGAACTTCAGGCGTGAATGTAGTGTCTGTGGAGCTGAAGACGAGGCGAACCCTTCTGTCTCGCTTCTGCTCGGCTCGACCCGCTCCTTAAACTGAAAAATCACTTGTTCTAATAATAGTCGTGTCAGATTTGTCTGTAATTGTCGGCGCTCCGCACACCGTTTGATATTTCCCCACCTCGCTTTGTGACTGATAGCTTTAATTACGAGCGCCGCGCCGACAAATCGTTCACGAACCTCGCAGCTCCCCTCTTCCTCCTCCTCCTCTTCATCACCGTCATTATAGCTGCCTGGGATATCGCCTGCGAAACCTTAATTGGTGTTTATCATTGTGTCAGAGTTACTCCACTTTCAACAAATTAGAAATGAAGCCTATTAGAGCAAACTACATGCAAATTGATATGCGAGGCTGTTTTACAGCACCGGACCCGGAATCATTCACCCCGCCGTTTAATACATATATTTGTATTTGCACATGAATGTATCCAGGTGATTATGCATTAATTAGCATATGGAAATGAGCATGTAATATGAATAAAGGAGAGGGCAGAGGCAATAAAAAAGAGAAACAAGTGCTAATGAGACGAGATCAGAGGAAGCAGAACGAGATCAACAACAAGGCAGGAAATACTTGCCCCTACAGCTGAAAATAATAATTAATAAGTAATAATTGGAACAACTTGTAGTCCAGAACTCAAGACTGTGAAAGTAGAAACTGTTTTTTGTGATCCGTTATCTTTGGTTTGTAAAAGATGAAGCTTTTAATCGTCGCCGTTTTTGAACACGTTGGATATTCACGTCAGATCGCACTCTCAACAACTCTTTGTGTTTAACTGGGCGGTGTCACGCAGCCCTTCATCTCGGAGCCTCGTCTGAAGATGAATTGTCTCAGGTCGCTGTTTGTCCTCTGCCCACCTGCTAACGAGACCCGTCACATCATCGACCGGCACAAACACTGAAACAAGAAGACAAAAGCCCGTTAACTCTGCCGAGAGCCTCAGATACGCAACTGCCAGACTATGGAGCGCACCCGAATATAAGCCGCGCACACTAAATAAAATAATAATCGTTGGAAGAGTTTCAGTCAGGGTTTAGAGCTCACCACAGCACTGAATCTCACTGATGAAAGTAACTGATATTCTCATGGTCTCAGACAGTGGACTTGTGTCTCTACTGGTCCTGTTAGACCTCAGTGCTGCATTTGATACAGTTGATCACAATATTTTACTACAGAGGCTTGAATATGATGTTGGGATTACAGGAACAGCTCTAAAGTGGTTTAAATCATATCTATCTGATAGATTCCAGTTTGTAAATGTAAATAATAAATCTTCATCATACACCAAAGTTAGTCATGGAGTTCCTCAGGGCTCAGTGCTTGGGGCAATACTCTTTACTTTATATATGCTTCCGTTAGGTAAAGTTATTAAATAACATGGGATAAATGTTCATTGTTATGCTGATGACACACAATTATATTTGTCCATTAAACCCAATGAATCCAATCAGCTACTTAGACTACAAGCATGTCTTAAAGACATAAAAACCTGGATGACCCTTAATTTTCTCCTGTTGAACAGACAAGACTGAGGTTTTGGACCTGAGCACCTTAGGAATGAATGTTTCAGTCTTTCTCCCTCCTTAGATGCATTAATCTGTCCTCCAGCTCTAATGTTAAACATCTTGGTGTTATTTTTGATCAGGACATGTCTTTTATCCCCCACATTAAAAACGTTACTAGAACCTCCTTCTTCCACCTGCGTAATATCACTAACATTAGAAACATCTGATCTAAAGATGATGCAGAAAAACTGCTCCATGCATTTGTCACGTCTAGACTGGACTATTGCAGTGGTTTATTATCTGGGTGTCCAAATACTTCTTTAAAACGTCTTCAGTTGATCCAAAATGCTGCTGCCAGAGTCTTAACTGGAGTTACTGGGAGAGATCATCTCTCTCCAGTTTTAGCTTCTCTCCATTGGCTCCCTGTCAAATCCAGAATAGAATTCAAAATCTTACTTCTAACCTACAAAGCTCTCAACATCCTAGCTCCATCTTATATTACAGATCTTATTGTTCCATATTTTGCTAACAGAGCACTTCACTCTCAGACTGCAGGTTTACTTGTGGTCCCTAGAGTTTCCAAAAGCAGAATGGGAGGAAGATCTTTCAGTTCTCAGGCTCCTCTCTTGTGAATCCAACTTCCAGTTTCTGTCCATGAGGCTGACACATTGTCCAGTTTGAAGACTTTCCTTTTTGATAAATCCTATAGTTAGGGTCGGCTTGTTATGCTGCTATAGACTTAGACTACTAGAGGACAAACTGACCTCATTTCCTTAAATTAATTGTTAAAATTGAATAGTTTTCATTTGATACTATTTCTATCTTAACATGTGATTCTTGACCTGCCATTGTGTATCTATTCCTACCAAACCCAGCTGGTCGAAGCAGATGGTCCTCTTGTCCTGATCCTGGTTCTGCTAAAGGTTTCTTCCTCATGAGGGAGTTTTTCTTTCCACTGTCGCCTTCATGCTTGTTCAAGATCAGAGTTCAGTGATGGAGTTAAACTCAAAGCTGCTCCTCAGATAAATAAAGTTAATTATTATTTTATATTTGAATATTTCTGTTAAATTATTATTTTATATATGAATGTTTCTGTTCAGTCCCTGAGACGATTCTGTTGTGACTTGGAGCTGAAGAAACAAACTGAGTTGAATTTAAATTAATTTTGTACATATATCAGCCGCAGGTGTTCATGTTGTAACATGAGTGGCAGCCACTGAGAGATGAGCAGCTTGTAGATCAAGAACCAACCACCAGATGGTGTTTTACAACCTCACAGGTCGTCATGACAACAACCTCACTCATGTTCCTCTACTGAACGGACGAACACAAACTAACAAGAACAGACTAATCACTAAAAGAACAATGATACAGATCAATGAACATAAATTTTACCCATAATCCCTCCCTGAGGTCATGTGACCAGCAGTCAACCACAGTGACTCCATGAGGACGTCTCATTGGGTCATGAGAAACCCACCCCCCAGAGAGACTTGTACTGGGCAGCCATGTGAGCACCCGGGTGTGACGAAGCTAAATGTTTTTTGCGACAGGAAGCTCGTTAGCTCGTCCAAATTAGCCGCAGCGTTGTGTAACCCGCGGGGTTCAAAGTCTGATAGAAGAAGCAGCTCATATACCGGAGTGTCCGGTAATCACTCGTGCCCGACGTTAGCGTTCCTGCCTCGAGACCACGGCTCTGTTTGTGTTGGTCTTCAGTTTCCTCGTCTCCATGACACTGTGAGGACTGTCCTGCACCCGCTCAGTGGCCCCTCTGGTCCACACATGCGTCTCCCCGTTTCCAGCGGTGTCACAAGGACTTCCTTTCCCAGCATGCACTTCGTCCATCAAAGAGCGCACGCTGGTGAAGGGATCTCACTTTAAACTGAACAAAAACAGAAAGTCGTAGGGGGTCGGCGAAGTCTCCCACGCTGATTGTCTGTGTTCCGGTCCAGTTGTTGACCCGTCTCTGACCCTTTTTGTCTCCTGGTCTGCTCTGTCCAGCTGCCAGTCCGGCCGTCTGGTCGAGGAACGGAGGACAGGGAGCGGCGTCGCCAAACTACGAAGCTCCGCTGCACTCGCTGGTAAACCGACTCTGGAAAACGTTTCTTCAGTTTTTGTCTTGATGTTCGTCACTGTGGTAGTAAACGTATCAGCTGAAGTTTCCTTCAACACTTCGATGACATACAGAACCAACTTTATGTGGGACACCCCAGATCAAGATGTTTCCACCGCCGTGCTTTACAGCACTTAATGCTGATGAACGTTCAGGCTCAGATGTCCTTCTTCTCAGACTGTTGTCGTGTCGACCTCCTGCTGCCCTCGGGTCAAACGGCCATGGAGCCTCCTTGTTGGTCACTTTGAGCCGAGGGCAGCAGGAGGTCCGACCTTTGGACCCTGTTTGTCCCGAGCGTCCCTCGTCAGAACCTTCTGTCTCTGCAGCAGAGTCGCATCGAGGAGCGGTTGGACGACGCCATCCACGTCCTGCGGAGCCACGCGGTCGGACAGTCGACGGGCATGACGAGTGGCCACGGCGACATGCACGGCCTCATCGGGCACACGCACAACGGCGCCATGGGGGCTCTGAGCAGCGGCTACGGGACGGGACTGCTGTCGTCCAGCAGGCACTCTCTCATGGTAGGACGGGACCCGTTGACCTGCGTGTCCTCAGATCAGGGAAGACTTGACAAACCCAGACCAGGTGGGTTTTAGACGGTCTCCTGGTTCGTGTGGGTCCAGTCCTGTGCTCCTCAGGATGCTCGTGGCGTCACGGTTTGAACAAGGAGCCGAGCTCCGACCGGCTCTCGTGTTTCGTTCTCCATCTTTTTTATGATCAAATGGGTTTTTATTTCTTTTTGTCCTCGAGCTGTCGGTGAACTGGAGTTTATTTTCATCACTGACGTTTGTTGGAGACAAAGTCCTGCACATCTAGTTTTATGTTTCTGTGCAGCGTAGTGCACGATGCTGTTGCCACTTTGGCTTAACGTCGTACTTCTAGTTTTTTTTTTTTACGTAGCTGCTCCATTTAAATGTGACTCTGAAAAGACAGAGAAGGTTAAGAGAACGACCCCCCACCGCCGCTGCCCCATCCTCATCTTGTTCAGCGAAATGGAGATGACTCCTAATCTGCATCACTTTGCATTAAAACCTTTTTAAATCATTTAATGCTGCTTTCACTGAACGTGCTCCTTTAAGCTGATAAGAGTCCGTGCAGGACTCGTCTCCACGAGCTGCACCAAGAATGTCAGACAATCATCTACAACTAATCTTGCCGCCTAACATCTTATAAAAAGCTTTCTGTGGGGGGGCGGGGGGTCTGTGATAGCAGATTATGTTGTAGTGGGTTGGGACGACCGGCTGGAGGAATATTATCTGAACATGTGGTCAAATAAATAAAGACCTAGTTTAGTCCTTTCCTGGTTAGTTGGATCATGTTTGAGCTGAAACCGTCGTCGTTGTTCTGACTCGGTCAAACACCTCGTGTGCTAAAATATGTTAATATTGTCATTTTAATTACGTTCACCTTTTCATCTCTGTGCTCAAACCTGGAGTTGTGAATACTGATGAGGAAAGAGGTGATGACGGGCGCGCGGCCTCTTGTTTATGAAGATAATGAGATAAATAAACGTCAGTAACGGTTTAATCCAACGTGGCCGAGCAGAGAAAACACAAACATCATCACTTTGTTTAAAGGACAACAGATGGGGGGGGGGGGGGGCTGACGCTTGGTGTGAGCCCCCAGAACCAACACCTCCGAGTAGGAGGGTCAACCACCAAGCAATAGACATCATGAAGACCAAGAACCTCTCCACACAGATCAGGGACTGCAGCCACTTTGCCATTGATGAGTGCGACTCCAGTCGGCGCTCGTTTTATCAGGATCGTCGATAAAAAGAGGACGAGCGTCGTGACTCACCTTACTTCAGTTTCTTTAGCTGATTCTGGTGTCGTGACTCACCTGACTTCAGTTTCTTTAGCTGATTCTGTCGTCGTGACTCACCTGACTTCAGTTTCTTTAGCTGATTCTGTCGTCGTGACTCACCTGACTTCAGTTTCTTTAGCTGATTCTGGTGTCGTGACTCACCTGACTTC